CAAGTTGCAGCACAGTATTCGAGAAGTCACGGTGTTGATAGCATTACACCCGAAGGTGATACTACCAACAGGCGTGGTGCGTTGAGTGGTGGTTGGATTGATCCTCAAAAGTCGCGTCTCAAGGCCGTCAGGGCTGCTAATAAATGGAGAGATGAGCACGAGAAGCTCGCACAGCAGTCTCGCGACATCCATCGACAGATCGAGACCAAGGATCAGGAAATCACGAATGCCATGTCGGAGCTGTCCAAGGCTGATCAGAGATTGCGACAGGCTGATGATGGTCTCGGACCTTCCCGACGTGAGCTGGAGAACATGACCTCTTATCTCGAGAACTCGCGCGCCCGCCTTGACGCTGCCATCAGGCGGCGCGATGCAGTCGACATGAACATGAGTGGTTTCATTGACGATCGCTCGGCTCATGAGCAGGAATTGACAACAGACTTCAAGAAGAGCTTGACGGCGGCTGAGGAGAGAGAGTTGGAAGAATGCAGTGCCCAAACGCAACAGCTGCAGAAGCAGTGGAGCGAGATCAGCAATGCCCGAAGGAAGCTCGAGAGCAGGAAGCAGGTTCTTGAAGCTGATCTCCGCCAGAATCTTCAGCTCAAGCTTGATCAGCTGAACGGGCAGGCCTTTGATGCCTTGGCTTCGGGATCTACTTCGGAAGGCCTGAAGGAGGTCAAGCGAGAGCTCAAGAAGGCGCAAAAGGCCTCCCAGAGCGTTGAGACCGAGCTCCAAGAGATCGAGGCCAAAATGGAGCAGCTAACCCACCGCATGGATCAGAACGTCAATGAAAAATCCGACCATGAGCAAGCCCAAGCCGAGATCTCACACCGGATCGAGAAGCAGCAGAAACGAGTTGAGAAGAACCTCGCCAAAAAGAGTATTCTCACGAACCAGCTGGCTGAGTGTGCCAGGAACATTCGTGACCTTGGTGTTCTTCCGGAGGAAGCGTTTGACAAGTATGAGAACATGGAAACCAAAACGGTATGCTTGAAACTCATCGTCGCACGTATTTTGAAAACCAATCTAACCTTGCCACGTGCTTAGATCAATTCGAGACTGAAGAGGGTGAATGAAGCCCTAAAGAAGTACAAACATGTCAACAAGAAGGCGTTTGAGCAATACAACAGCTTCACATCTCAGCAGGATCAGCTGATGAAGCGGCGCACCGAGCTCGATCAGTCTCAGACATCTATCGAGGACCTCGTCAAACATCTTGACCAGCGGAAGGACGAAGCCATCGAGCGTACTTTCAAGCAAGTCTCGAAGGAGTTCTCAACCATCTTTGGCAAGCTCGTACCTGCTGGGCATGGCCGTCTCATTATCCAACGCCGGACCGACCGACGACAGGAGCCAGAGGAGTCGGATGAAGAAGCTGGTCGCACTGTAGAGAACTACATTGGTGTGGGAATCAGCGTCTCCTTCAACTCCAAGCACCTTGACGAGCAGCAGAGAATCCAGCAGCTCAGTGGTGGTCAGAAGAGTACGTGTATCCCAAACCCCCATTGCATGAGCAGAGTGCTAACCGCTTCATCCTTTCTAGGTTTGTGTGCTTTGTGCCTCATTTTTGCGCTGCAAGCCACGGAAAGCAGTCCTATGGTCATTTTCGACGAGGTTGATGCCAATCTCGATGCCCAGTACCGAACAGCCGTCGCAGACCTCCTGCAGTCCATCTCTGATGAGATTGGCACTCAATTCATTTGCACAACTTTCCGCCCCGAGATTGTCTATGTAGCGGACAAGAGCTACGGTGTGACGTTCCGCAACAAGACCAGTTCTATCAACTGTGTCAGCACTGACGATGCTCTGGAGTTCGTGGAAGGACAGGCTAGACCCAATTAAAAGATTATTATGTATTACCTTGTTCTTTGAATCTTTGGGTACATGACGGCCCAGGATTTTGCGAGTCATATTTGCAGGACAGACAAGGGCGTTGGGCGTTTTCGCATATGGAATTCCATTGAAACTTGGGGTGGAGCAGATGGCCGAATTGTATTTTCTACATGAATCTGCGGCTTTTGATGATGAGAAAGGGTTAGATGAAGGCTACAATGGAACTTGGCGGCTTTTTGCTTTTCCCTGCCAGACTCAATGCAAACATGAAGCATCACTGTTTGTTAGTTTGAAATTAGTTGAAGACATACTTCAATACACATTTTAGTCATGAACAAGCCCCTTTGTCCCGAATCCTCGTGGGCAGGTATGATAAGTGATCGTCTAGATAAATACAAATACTAGTAATAGGACCACGTTGATGAATTTTGTGTACAGAATGTATACATGGGTGCTAATATTACAGGCGTCCTGCGACTCAAATCCACCACTACCTATCCGACATCATGTTGCGCACACCCTTGAAGTCTTGGGGCGATAATTCCTTCTCCAGCTCTTCCCTCGTTAGCCATTTGAAGTCAGTGTAGCCGAATGGGTTGTCCTTGAGATCCGCCTGGCCAGCCATGATGCGTCCCTTGAGGAAGAACGTCTTCTCTCCCTTGCTCTTGACACCGCCGCTTGCGTCACGGACGGGCTCCTTGACCGTGTGGGCAACGGGGACACGGCCAACAATCCAGGTGTTCATGTTGACCCCGGCAGCTTGGTCGAGGACTCTTTGAGCACACTGTCGAAATAAATTGTCAAGACTCTTCATTCTCTCTCGTCATGGTTCTTCTTCAAAAGACGGGCACTTACCTGGTGCAGATTCTCGCCATCGGGGATGACATCGGCCGGGAAGGACCAGCCGTCCTTGCCCTTGACGACCAAATAGAGGGTCCTGTCCATCGCGCGATCCAGCCTCTTGACATCGGCCTTCTTGTCCGCCTCGGACAGCCGCTCATTGGGCGGCTCGACGGGCTGGACGTCGGCCACGGGGATGATCTCGGCGTCGTCCGACACGCGCGCCTCGGCGTCCTTGAGGATGCTCTTGAGGATGCTCTCCTGTGTGCTCAGCCCGTCGCCGACCTTGAGCTCGTCGTCCCAGGCGCTGGCGCTCTTGCCGTGGTACACGCCGAGCTCCTTGGCGACGGTGCCCTGGCGCTCCCTGACCTTGAGGTCCCAGTCTATGCGGCGGGCCGTGTCGGGCTTGAAGTAGACGTTTGTGACGAAGGGGGTGTTGAGGCGCTCCTCGAGGCGCTTCTGGTAGAAGAAGAAGGCGTTCTCGAACGGGTGCAGCGTCCGGGTGAGGAGGGGTGGGCGGGTGAGGATGAGGCCGGAGCGGACGTCGTAGGCTCCCGCCGGCGGAGGCTGCTGTTCAGAGGCTGCGCTGCTGCCGGGCGACTCGGTGGCGGTGCTCGCCGTCGAGGAGTACAACCGGCCGGGGGTTCTTGTGTAGGTGGTTGCGCATCTTGAGCAGATGCCGCTGGGGTTTGCTATAGTCACGAGCACAAGGGAAAAAAATTAACACTCAAGGTCGGGGGGGGCATTGGTTGGGGTAATGGGGAGAACCTACAGATTAATGAGCCTTTGAAGACCCGTGCTCCCCTTCCTGAGGCCGCCATTATGTCAGACTCTCTTCACTGGGTTCTGGAGAGGTTCAATGAGCCCAGGATCGATTTTGATGTAGCTCGAGTCTTGAACTTTTCGATGGTTGGCTGGCGCAGGGTCTCTGTCGATGCTGACATAATACACTTTCTGTCCTGACCTTGTGCTGGTGCGTTGAGATTGAGCTGTCAAGAATATGCCAGGTGGGGGTAGGGTGAAAACGTTGGTACCTTTAAATGTCATTAAATTTCTGTTTATCAAATTTATTGAATACAATTTATATCCTCGACTTTTTGAGGTTGGTAATATCGATATTCCTACTGGTGTAGGCTGCCGGTAGTGAACATTCAAACCTGGCCAGGTATGAGTGGTAGTCGGAGATGCGGTGAGATGATTTCAGCACTTCATTTTTATGGATTTGGAAAAGACTTCTGACAGAGTACTAAGCAATGAATGCAATACCAATAAGATGAAATCGGATATTCCTACTGTCTTTAATAATACGTACTGAAAAGCCATACCACAAGGCAAGAAAGCAAGAAAATGCTCCAACGTCTGAGCATCCAGGATTAGTAACTGCTCGCCCGATACAGTTGCGGCCTTGTTCTTCAGGCCACATCTCCTCCCGGGACCCACAGCAGCTCTTCGCCTTTTAGTAGGACCTGCACGCCTCTCTCCTCTTTTCCTTCTTTTCTTCTCTCTCCAAGGCACCATTACCTTATCGTCAAGACCTGTTTCCTCCTCCAGAACGTCGTGACCATTTACGGGCGCCGAGAGTGACTCTCAATGCAGTCTTTTTTCGCTAGCGGCACCTGCTGAAAGGATGTTCTATCCTTCTCAAACTTTCCCACCGGGTCCTGTTAGATAGATACTGCTAACATTCTTCTCCTCCCCTTCTGCAATTCTCCATGTGCTTATCTCATGATCGTCCCACCATCCAGTAGCTGACCAGCTCGACATGAAATCAATTGAAAAATTACCGAGTTTTTTTTGAGTCCCGCACACGCGCAAATTTTCGCCGATCCATGCTAATAATGGTGTTTTACCTGATGGTCCTGTTTTCTTCTTCTTCGCACACCATTATCGGTAAACTCCCACTTGGACGTCGCACATTTGCTAAATATGTAGGTGCACCGAGTATATGATCTCGAATATGCGGCGACATAAATGCCCATCGCTCTCTGAATATATATTTGCTCCGACAACTATAGAGTACATTTCCATCCATGTCCCTGTCGTGTTCCTCGAACCTGTCGATTTGCTATCAACTCCGATACATGAAGAATCCCCAAATGCTATGGCCTGCATCGGCACACAAAAAAAAAAGGCCGATGTTTTATCTAATCATGATACTGATACTAATAACCGCAAATTCCCAGCCCTGACACGCCGATGCTCGATTTAAGTACAAATCCGGTCAAAAATGCTGGGTATCAAAACCAAATTGAAGCTCCGATAAATGCCCAAAAAACGCCCGCCCTAACCCATTAGCAAAATGATAACTTCCCGTCCGTGATGGGCAGTCAGGCAGGGAGCCCGGCGATGGCTTGGGCTACTTCTTGAGTGACCCTCTTCTCCCATGTCCGTCGAGTATCTTGGTCGAGCGCAGATGCGTCTCCGACTTCTTCGTAAAGCTTCCGGGAGATATCTCGGTTTATCATGGCATATTGGTCCGAGGTCAGTTTTTGAGCTCGCCAATGTGGTCTAAGCGCGTTTTTCACAATATCGTTGATGTTCTTTTTCTCTTCGGGAGTCATCGTGGTTCGGGTTGGCGATGTTTCCTCTGCACGTGATGTGGCCCTAGATGGCCGACGAGGTCGAGGCTGGCGCAGTTCGAGTGTTCGAGTCTCTGTTGGTCGACCGACTCTAGGTTCGGGCTCGGTCTGCTCGCTTGAGTTGCGAGTTGGTGAATAATTTGCGGGGGGGTAGCGTGGCTCGATGTGTGTGCTCAGCGAGAGCGTAGGTGAGGTTGGCCGACCGCCGACGCTGGGCAGCGGAGGCGGGGTCATGGAGAGTGCGCGAGGGCTGCTGTGAGCTGAGTGGACTGGTGACAAGGCTGGGGAGGATGCCTCAGGAACGCCCTGCCACCACGAGTTTATGGCCGAGTTTTCGTCCTCGGAGTGAGCGTGAGGCTCGAGCTCCTTGAGCAGAGAAGACACCAGGGGTGGCCCATTTTCGTCGCGGTTGAGCTCTCGATTTGCGGTTGGTACAGCCACGCGGGTGGCTGGGCCGCCATTTGTCAAGCGTTGGTTGGATGGGCCTGATGTGACGGGCGAGGAGGCGGACGCCGAGGCTTCGCCCTGTTGTGGCGGGAGTCGTCGTGTTCGAGGGCGCTTTAGCTTCCTCTCGGGTTCCTGTACAGGCTCAGCCGGGGACGCTGTCACAGAACGAGCCTTCCGTTTGCGAGAGTTTGTTGGCGTGCCTTCTTCGACCTCCCTCGCTCGCTCAAGAGCCCCCCATGCTCTTCTTTCGTCGACAGTTTCTTCGATAGGAGGAGGTTGTAGATATTCGCTGATTTGAGGCGGGATGTTGTTCGCAAAGGTCTCTCGGGCGCCAAGGCGGTTAGCAATGTTCACCCGCTGCTGCCACCTCTGCAACTCTCGTCGATCGAGCTGTTGAAATCTCCTGAATTGCTCCAGCTCTTCTACCTCCTCGTCTGCATTATCGAGGTCGACGTCGCTCAGGTCAAAGAAGCGACCGGCAAAGTGACCCCATGCACCCTGCCACTCGAAATTCCTCGCCTGCTGACGTGCGCGCCTCAGGTTGGCACGAGTCCGAACGTTGTGGCCCCTCGAGTCTCGAGGATGAGGCCGATGTACATATCGGGGGCGGGGCGATCGTATCTCGTCGGTGGGCGTTGGGGGATCGTCGGCTAGTTGGAAGAGGTGTCGGCATTCCATGCAGTACCAGTCGCCTTGGGGCACTTCCTGCATCCCGAGGCAGTGCGTGTGGTACGCTGCATCGCAGCTATCGCAAAGGAGGAGGATGTCCTCCCGCTCGGAGGAGTTGCAGATGGGACATGGGCAGCTCTCTTCCTCCTCCTCCTCGACATTTTCAACAAGCCACTGCTGAAGGTCAAAGTCGGCGACTTGTTTCTTGTCATCGACGTGGTATGTAGATAACAGAGTGCCTGCACGATTTGATTGTGTTAGCCAGGATGAACGTGATGCTGCACGCATTAGTGCCCTGAGGCGGGAGAGGGACGACGTACCGTCTACACCGTTGAGTACTTTGATGGTGTGGAAGAGCTTGCGGCAAATTGGGCAAGTGTTGGTCTTTTGGGCCCAGGAACGGATGCACGCATTGTGAATAATGTGCTCACATCCGTCCAGTTCTGCGACAATGTTGAGAAGGCTGTCGTCGCTGTCGCTCTCGATGAGAGCACCGTTGGTGATTGTACCCGAGGCGGCGCTCTCACTGTCGCTGGTGGCCGCTGCAGACGGTGCAGTGGATGCAGTGGGTGTTGGCAGCGCTGTAGGCTCAGCCTTGGTGGAGGCAGTGACAGCTTCAGAGGCGGGTGGCGGTGGTGGTACCTGCACAGCAACGTCTACAGCGGTTGAGGACTGCAGACGTGGCAGTGGCTCGAGACATATAATACACTGCTCAGGCTCAGACATGATGCCGATTGCAATGATACATGCGAGCTCTTGATGAAAACATGTAAAAGGGGAACAGGAGGCCTGGGGAAAATGATATACAGCGGGGAGGCAAACAGCTGGGAGCAAGCGGAATGATGGTTTTGAATGTGGAAGTCAGGGAAAGGTCGGGGCTGCTGAGAGGAAAACAGTGATGTAGGTGTGTTTCATCAGCGACAGCGGGCGTTGAGTGCTGGAAGCTCGGGTGGTGCCCGCTGTGGGTGGTGGAAGGGGGCGACCTTTTTTAGGTTGTATGGGTGATTGTTGGCCCCAGTGCCCGAGGACAAGCAAGTGGGAGGGGGGGAAAAGAGAAGGAAAGAAGAGAGAAGTGAGCAGTGAGTTTCGAGGCGCTGTAGACGCCAGCAGCCGGAACCTAATACAAGGCCAGGTATTAGTGAGGTGTGTCTCAATTGGGAGAGAGGGGCGGCCTAGCACACCTGGTGGCCACCATGATTATCTCGAGGTACCTTACCTGGTATGAGTAGTATGACCTACAACTTCTGACGAGCGGGTCGTACTATTTGCAAGCCCCCTCCAATCAGCTGCTGCACGGCCCTCCCAGACGATGGGCTGTCTGTTGCACCTGCAGGTCGACCTTGTTGCGGTCTCTGGCTGGCGGGCGGTATGATACGGCACGCGGCCTTGTTAACACAACCGCTGATGCTGCAGGGAGCCGCCGGTCCGGAGTTGCGATCCTTATTATGGATCCCCCTTTGGCGCCTTTTTGGGATGGGCCTTTAAATAAAGGCGCGTGAGGTGTGGTGTCGAGTTTCGCAAGTAAACGAGCAAACGGGGGTTTTGGCTCTCTTGGCCCGCCCTTGGATTGCAAAAACGGGTGGCTCAGCTGCCGTTGACCGTAATACCGAAGAGGACTGGACAGGACTGGGCGAGCAACTTCGCCTATTTTTCGGTACGTCCTTGACCAGGTTTCAGGGTCAATTGGTTCCTCAGGGAGAGGGGTGTTGTATTTCTGTGCGGAACTGCCTCTGCTGCGTGCAAGGGGATAACGCACGGATTGCAGATTGCTTTATTTTTTTTCGGGGGGTGGAAAAAAAAACGAGATTTGAGACTGTGACAACTGATCTCAGGAATAGCGTGAGTGGGAGAGTGACCAAGAGCGTATGCAGCCACGAAATGCCAGGGGGTCGTAACGGTAATGTCGATACGGGGAATCTTGTTTTGATTATCTCCTTCTCTTTCAGTTTAACAGTACGCTGCCCCCCCAGAATGGTCGGTAAGCATGGAAAGCCACACTGCTCAGTATATGACAAGTAGATAATTGCAAGTAGCGTATAAATATAATATAAGTCGGTAGGGAGACGAGGAGGAGAGACAGTGCTGAGCAAGGGAATGCCTAGCAAGACCTAGAGATTCACAAAAGCCCACCCCGGAGGAAAAAGGCCAGTCTAGGCTAGGAAATAGTGATATGAGCGCTTGACTCAGGGCCTCAGGCTGGCTTAAGCACAGGGAACAGCCGTTCTGCTCGTTCCACGGGCAACGGAACCTCGCTAAAGCCTAAAACGAGACTGAGGAATAATAGGTGAGGTTGGGACGCATGTACTGGCAAGCATGTGCAGTGCAGCTGCATGCATGAAGTGCCAGTGTACCTTGATGATGATGCTGGGGAATGCGGTGGGAAAAGGCTCGCACGTGTGACCACTCACGGGGTTGGCCTGGGCACCTAGCATAAGACTGGGCTTGTTGTATTGGTCATGAGCGCATGCATGGCCACTCGCCATCAAACCCGCAAGAGCGCACTAGATACATATTTAGCCGTGTGTTTGTGGGCTGTATATCCCTTTATATGCAATGCCGGCCAGGCTGTACAAGGCATCGAGATGGGGGCCTCGCCTACTGTGAGGGTACGAGGAAGGAAGGTCAGCCACAAAAGTATGGGACAATGGGGCATTAGTTGGTTTGGTTGGCAGGCTGACAATATCGCAGCTTCTAGAGTCGTCATCGCCGCCTTGCCTTCAACACCGGTGCATGCGTGGCATTCTATTTGCTCTGGAGAGCATCGTGGCAAGGACAGAAATGAAGAGAATGAGCCTGTCTCGGTGACTGAACCTGCCAGCACCGTCGTCAGGCTGCCAGCTCCCGCCGTCAAATGAGCGTTCCCCATCCAATGTTACATAGTATGTACGTGCCACTCGCAGTACACGCCCTCGCTCACGATGCTGGGACTTTCGGTCAGACCCGACCATTACAGACTAACTACTAATGGGGCTGTTGTCATCAACGGCGATTACGGCGCAATGGGCTGCGTGCCTGGATTGACCAAGATCGATCTGACGCTTCACTGCCTGCCTCTGTGCTTGATTCCCCCGACGCTGACACACGTACACATACAGGTAGGTATATCCATGTACATGTGATGTGTATGTTTCCGTTCTCCAGTCTCCCCTTCCATAAGTCGTACCGCTGTATGATGTGCATGTTTTTAGATTAGAGACTGGCTCATGAGCATGCTCGAAAAGACCCAATCCTACTGGAGCGGGTACCCTGCCGCGGCCAGATACCCTTGGCTGGCTTGTGCTTAAAAATACAGCCGTGTAGGCAGGCGAAGGCACCAGCTGGGACTATATCCGGGATCACAGACATCTCCGATAATCATTTCGAAGCCCGGAATGACCCCATAGCGTAGCAGGTTCACCGTGCACGAACGCCTATCGCCGGACCGCGCGTGGTGTAGAGAAAAAAGAGTCATGGGTTCAGGTGCTAGAGAGTCGTCGACGTGCCCCACGATGCTGTTTCTCGGCGGCAAGTGGGGGAATGCGTTGCAAAAGTAAGACTCACTCACGCTCGGAAATGTGCACCCGCCTCGATTTATTTTCTTTGCAATCTTACATCGTCATCCGTTTGAGTCATGGTTTCAAGGCAGCGGCATGAACACGTCTAGCAAAAGGGGCCTACGAACTCGACACCGTTTGGCGGTGACGGGTTTGGATTGGATCAGTTGACGTTGCCGTATCCACTTGCATGGGCGGCTGAGGTGGTGAAGAGATCAGAGTCACTCAGCGAACTAGCTCCTGGAGAATTGGAGCCCAATGCGAATCACACGTGCGTTGCATCTGAAGCCTCACGATGGCACCTCACCAGGCAGAACGGGTTGAATACATCGTCATAGAAACCGAGCCTTCATCCAGTGCACCGACGGGAACGGAAACAAGATGGCAGGTGATCACTCTCTTGTGGATATGGGCGAAGCCAAGACTGTAACGAGGCGAACCGATTTGACCTGTCACGTTCTTCCAGGCACGACCTGGCCTGGTCGACTGGGGTTGCGTCCGAGATAACCATGCAAGTCATTTTTCTTTTTTGTTCCATTGCTAATCGAACGGCTTCTATGACCGCAGACCGAAAATTGACGTCCTGTCGTCAACTCGTAGTGTAGGCACGAAAACCATGTGATCCCCCATGCTCCAGACCGGAAACCAAAGCCGAAATATTTTCCGTCACAGCGATAAGCGGCAAAACAATTTTAAACCTCAGCAATCTCCCTCAGACGACGCAGAGTTGATCGCATAGCGGCAGCGGCGGGGGTACTGCACGACAGTTAGTATTTCCTCTCTTGTTTATCTTCGTAGTCCACGAGGATGGCGTCTGGAGACTCGAGGAGTGAGAAGGGGGCTTCACGCACGAGACAGTGTAGGCACCGCCGGCAACGGTTCGCTTGCAAGACTTGCAGTCCCAGATACCAACGGCCTGGCGGCGGACGGTGACCTTGCCGCAGAAGGTGCAAGTGTACTTGGCGTGCTGGGTGATTTCCATCTTCTTGACCTGCTTTCGCAGGGAGGCACCGTAACTATATCCAATATCAGCATGGCCTGCATTGCAGTTGTGCTTCAAGCCCGAGTCTCCAGCGTCTGCATCTTCCTCGGGAATGGCGAATTTCGACTCCAACCAATCTGGACATTATCGAAGTAGGTTCCCTGATTCGAGTTCGGGTTTGAGCTGTCCGGAAGAGATCAATTGCTCTGGGAACTCAACGCCTGGAGACTGGTGTATCATAGGGAGTCGAGATCGTTTCCTGTCGAGAGATGCAGACGCCTTGGCTGAGGGAATGAATTCGGACGTTGGCGAAGCTTACCGGGTACCGTATTTACCGCTGCGATATAGTTAGCATTCTGGCTCTTTGGCTGACAACAATTGAACGAGATCAATACGTACGTCACGCCGACCTTCTTTGTGCGCTTGGTCATCTTGTCTGAGGTTGTGTGGTTTGACGACTCGAGGGGAGGAGTTCGGTGTGATGCGGATGAGGCTTCTGATACCCGGATTTGTGATGGGAGTTGGGGTTGTGATTTTTCTTAGGGCACGCACGTGAGAGTTGGTGGGCTTGCAAAATTGGGCTCTGGTGGGACCCAAAATTGTAGTCAGCAACTTCCAATTATTTTGGAGCTTGGAAGGGCTTCGGAAAAAAGATTATTCGGGGGAGCTGTGGAGCCCCACCAAGCGCAATAGCTAAACTATTGTGCATCGAGGTCAGCACATCATACCCCGATAAGATGTAGTAACAATCAAATTAGTATCAATTAACTAGCATGGCGAGAGTGGTATCGTTGGTATCATTTGGTTTTGTCAAGGCGATATTTTATCATTTCAAGAACAGGAAGCCTACAATGTGTTTTGTCTCATCCTCGCTATTCTTCGCTTCAGTACCTATCTGGCTGGGCTACAGATTCCCATGCCGAGGCATTTCAGAAAAATAAAAATATGCCATAATACCTCATGCAATATACAACACCTATCTGTAGACTGATGCTTGGATGGCATCGCAGTCGCTTGGTTTTTTTCGGTAAAAAGATGGGTTTCATGTCTGCCTATCAACTACGTAGCAGTAGCACGTGGGAGCACAAGCCCATACACTATCGTCGGCTGGGTATGCTGCCTTTTCTTAGCAATGATGAAGAACGGAGTAACTCGATATGAATACCACACGTGTGTAGTTTAATCGTAAAAATGAGATCATAGACGGACATACAGAGCGAGTTTTCATACACGTTCAAATAAAGACAAAATCTAGCGTCCATTCCTCCAAGAGTGCAATTTCAAGTACCTAGCTCAATAGTTATTCCCGACAGATATTGCCGTCTAATTCCCTTTCTGGCGTGGAGCATGAGCTGGTGCTGCTTTACCCTGAGCGAAATGTTCCTTGTATTTCACTGAACACAAGTCGGTTCAAGTACGCAGGTAATTTCATTGTATGAGCTTGCTTCGTCCTCTTTCCACGAAGATATCCCACATGAACTCAACCCTAGCGAAAACATTGCCGATGATATCAATCACAGCCACGGTAGTGGAGGCTATTGACGTGCATTGCTCTACGAACTCAGGACTCTAAGTTGCTGACATAGATTCTAATTAGCCCCCATTAGGCGGATCTTGCTTTTTGGCTTCCAGTCGCAATTTGTCGATGAGCATCTTGCGAGTTCGGCTCGGACCAAACCTCCGGTGATACCTGGCCACCCAATCCTCATTCTCAAAATCAGCTGGCTCTAGGTTCTTGAGGAAAGCCAATTCTTCTTTGGTAAACCTTTGCATCAAGCTTTCTTTGACTCCATGTTGATTCATCAGTCTTTGCAGCTTATGGACAATGCTGCTTTTGCTGCGTCCGTTTTGAAACTTTTCAGTAAATTCTTGGGCGGTCACTTTATAGTTTCTCGACGATAAATTATCCTGTAGAAAGGTAATTTCCTCTAATGACCAGGCTACGCGGTCGACAGCAACGACAGCACCGTTCCTCTGAGCTCTCCGCTTTAGAGCGACCAGGCTTCTGAGGGAACCAAATTCAGCTTGGAATTTGTCAAAGACAATGTCCCAATCACCGGATTCCTTACAGACAGCTCGAATAAGCTCATCTTCTTTGTCAGTCCAAGCTCTGGTGACCGCAGGCTTTGAGACGAGCGCTGTTTCTACCTTTCTCCTTGCTGACTGTACTCCTGAGGCTTCCTTTATCCTTGGTAGTGCTCCTGAGGCTCCCTTTCCTCTTGATGGATGTGCTCCTAAGGCACTATTCTCTCGAGTCAATGGCTTTTTCGTTTTCCTGGTTAGACCAAGGTTGTCGGCCATTGCTTCAATGGAGGTTTCTTTTCTATTCAGTCCCAATTCTTTTAATGCGGCCATTCTGCTGGATCGGGTCTGGTATTGACGACAAACATCGGTTAAGAGCCTGCGTTCTTCTTCACTCCAGTTGACTTTGAAATTGCGGTGGGCACCGATACGTCTTGACTTCGATTCGCACGACCCTGGAGTTCGGTTTGTACCAAAGCGCTCGTTCATTTGCTTCGCAATGGACGCCCAGCTTGGAGCTTGTTCGATAAGAATTCTCAAGAAATCCTCTTCTTGGCGACTGAAACGGACTATCTTTGAGCGCTTAGCGACAGCGCCCGAGTTCAAGGAAGGTGTGCAGATCGCGCTCGGTATCTCAGGCTCTTTCGCATCCTGAATCGGATGCTCAGCCTTTTCGGAAGGCGAGCTAACAAGATTATTAGTTTGATGATCCGGCTTTAATACAGACACGTTGTCCACTGCCGTGGTGAGTGCAATAGCCAAAGATTGAACAATAGTATCTGGGCATTCTCGAGCCTTCTTTGTGACTGACGAGACTTGGTTCGCACCAACTCGTTTCCTTGATGACGAACTTGTATTTTCTGAAGGCTTCAGCACAGGCATGGTAATCGTCCTACTGGTTACGTTAGCACCGGGTGAAGGGGGTGCTACATCGCTGTCGCCTGAAGAAGGTTGCGAATGCGAGCTCGACATATCGAGGAGCGTATCATCCTTAGAACGAGTGCCACAAAGAGCTGCACCATAATCGTGTTCGAACATGAACTCTTCCCAGACGTGTGGTATCAGGATCCCATACACATCAAATATCCAGCCGCATCCGAAATCCACCTCGTGTCTTTCTAGACAGGCTAAGATAGCTGATGTTACGTCGAGCCTCCTCAAAAGTCTTTCAACCCATTGCGGCGACAGGTCCGGATTGAGGTATCTCGTAGCCTTGTATTCTACATCATAGGTGTATGGGTGTTGCGTAGATTGGAGGATGGTATCTGCGAGAACCTCCTTCAATATGTTCGCGACGAGACTTGCCTCAGGCGGCAATTGTCCAGTTCGGATGAGGTCAAGGACCCAGCCAAATCGGCTCTGCAGCGTTCTAGCGTCTTTGATACCCCAAGACTGGTCAAGACCCCCAATAAACAAGGACTTCCAAAATGCGTTGTCGGTGAGGTCGAGAGAGTTCGAGTTAGTTGTTTCATCAAATGTTCTTTTGTGAAAGTCTCGCATGATGCAGACAAGAACCCTGAGTGAGGACACGCGCAAGTAGCCCATCACAAGTGGTGGAAGCAACGTTTTCCGGCAGAAAATGGAAGAACCTGTTGCGGCCGCGGCTAACGCGCTCTGTCTCTCAATTACTTCTGGGCCAAGCCAGGATAGCGTCAAAGCCTGATATTTTGGCAAATCCGACGCCCATTCATAATCCATCTCTGCTTGGCTCTCCACGATGGCTTCCTCCTCCGTGTCTGAAGCTTGAGTTTCCAAATCAGGTGGGCCGCAATATCTATACTCAGGTACTCCTATATGCATCTCGTGTGTGTTCGAAATGTAGCGAGGCGAATCCGGATCTAGCAATGGATCATACGTCCAAGGTGGAAGTGGCTCTACGCTATGTGCCAAGCCATCACGAACTGCATCGCGCCAGAGCTTCAATAGGTCTAGGGGCCCACCGAGTGGGATTCGGTCGAGAGGTATACCATCTGCGTAGAGTTGTGCTCTCGTCTGGTACCAGACCCAGCAGAGGGGCGGCCACGACCATGACGAAATAGCAGCGCTGGTGTGCCACTGTTTGACTCGCCTTTGTAGAGAATACATGACGACTGTCTGGATTCGCTCCCACAAGTAGGGATTTTGTCGCTTCAATGGTTTACATCTCTGGAGACGCATCATTGGAGGTGCACCGGCTGAGGAAAGAACAGGCGTCAGTCTAATCTCTTCGTTCAGATAGAATGAGTCTAGATTGCTAAACTTACGTGTGATTTTCTCCCAAACTTCTTTATGCAGAAGGTGTGCTAGATTGGAGCCCACTAGCATTTGAAACCGCTGAGTTGATGGCCAATGGAATCCCTCCCTCTGCAGAAATTGATTAACGCGATCAGGCGTGTATACTTGCTTCTGCTCGAATTCTGGAATGTGGAAAAAAAGATCGTTCTCGTCCTTGGGCTCGGTAACGAGGTTTCTACTCTGTAGAAAGTCTTTCAATGCCACGAGCCCGTGCCAATGCTGTTGCCACATGTAAACACTGGATGTTACTAGCCCCGCGGTTCGATCCTGTGACAGCTGAATGTACAACAGCCGAACTTGTCTGCTGTTCTTCGAAAGTCCTTGCCGCTCTAACAGCTTGACCACCGTATCCCATTTATCGCCCGGGGCAAGTTCGCTATAGATCTGATGCTGATGTTCGGCGAACACGTCGATGAACGTCATGACTTCAGCTGGTGTCCAAAATTCTCTTGCGTTGATAGAACCAAAGTGGGGTGTCGATTGCTTGAGTGGCAAGGCTCGGTTCAGGCCTTCGAAAGGGGGAGGCGGCATAGAACGTGGTCTCAGCTTGAACCCGTACTCTCTGGCCCAAGACCGTAAGGGATCATCCTTGACAGGCGCGATAGTTCCGAGGTAGATAACCTCTATCGCCTCCGCTAGGCTAAGGAGGTACGGGACGTGGCAGGATGCGCTGTGAATGAAGTACTTCGGATACGGCAGTACAGTGAGGATAGCAAGACGAACTTCCTCGATATCGACGTGAGAAATACGGCGATGTGCCCAAATGTCGTCGACCTTACGCTTCGTCTGCAAGCCAAGCTGGCCTCGAGATTTTCTTCGTCGCACAATATCCCGATGCTCCTTGGCCCGTCTCTGTATCCCAAAAATTCTCGGACCCGATACACCCCCCCCTTGACCGGCATAAGCCATATCGCAGCTTAGCGTACTTTGGTCATGATGTCTTCCCTACAAGGCATATGTTCCAATAACGGATGGGATGCGAGGTACTTGAGTTGCCAGAGAGAAAGTTTCCAGTGAATGAAATAGGTCGCGCCAGTCCTGGCGTCCTAGCACCGCTCGGGTACGGTAGGAACGCACATGAGGATGGAGAAGGACATCAAGGATCGCTTGCTGGCTGGCTGCACTTGAATTCGCACAGAGCCACCGGAACATGCTCTCATGAAATGGTGAAGTGTCGAGATTCTCATTCGAGGAGTAGGATAGAGCTTGGTAAATATTGTCGAGGATGCCCTTGTACCATTGGTCGTGGCGCTGAATGTTTCTTTGGTGATTCTCTAACTCTAGAAAGTATCGTTCGTTAGTCTTCCTGCTAAGGCGAGGGAGTTAGGTATGTATTCTTTACCTGACTCCAGCGGTGGCACTTCGCCGCATGCTGCGCACATTTCATCTATGAGCATTTGTGCCTGCTCTTTCCTGAAGGTCATGTAGTTAATGTTAGGGTCAAGGCCTGTGCCCTCCTCCTTGGTCTGGTCGAGACTTTCATCCTCGGATTCAGGCCACTGGCTCTGACCAATGCCGGGCGCTGACTCATGCACATACTCATGCACATCTTTAGCAATGGTTTCGATAAAACGAGAAAACTCATCGAGGTCCTCCGCGAGCCGTTTCTTGCCTCTGTACTTGTCAGGATCTTTTGGGACAGTTCTCCTTGGTGCGCAGCGACTGCGAATGCGTGAGCCAACTCGAAAGTCCGACATATGTGAGCCCCAGGGCTTGAGGTCCCGGTGGCTTTCACCATTCGAGGTCGGCATCGTCGTGGAACGAAGAAGATTATTTGTTCCTGGTCACGCGAATCCAGAGACGAGAGTGCTATTTGAAAGCGAAAAGAGGAAAGATAAGGTGGAAGCTAGGGGGGTGTAGAAAGAGTAGCGTGGTCTAGGTAGAATATCGGCTAATACGCGGGGCACGCAGATGCTCTGCACTTATGTGACTCACAAACGAAATCTCTATACCATACGCACATCACCCAACTTTCCACCACATCCGCCAGCAGGCTTTCCTCCTTCCTAATTCGCAAGCCGAGAGCAGAAGACCCGTGAAACTATTATACACCATCATGGCAGCTGTTATCCACCTGAGGTCGGAAACCAAGCCCTTTGAGCGGCGTTCTCCACGTACGCAACTTGACGATCTCCCGATCCAGCGCTCCCATAGATCAGACTGACAAAATCCACCAGTATCGCCCGAGACAGCCAAGGCGCTTGTGAACGCCGGGTACATTGTGCGAGTTGAAGCATCGCCGGATCGCATCTATCATGAAGACGAATTTTCAGCTGCCGGTGCTGAGATTGTCCCTGCTGGATCGTGGGTTGAAGCTCCCTCAGACACTATCATTCTAGGCTTGAAAGAGCTTCCCGCAGACGGCAGTAAGTATGATCGATTCGAGGCTGAATATAATCGCTAACGCTATTCCTAGCACCCTTACCGCACACATATATTCACTTTGCCCACTGCTTTAAGAAGCAGGACGGTTGGGCTACTGAATTGTCACGCTTTGCCCAAGCTGAGGGTTTGCTCTATGATCTCGAATTTTTGCTAGATGACCGAGGCGTTCGTGTAGCAGCATTCGGGTCTACGGCGGGATTCTCTGGTGCTGCGCTGGCCCTGTTGTCCTGGGCGCATCAATTTCTTCACCCAGGAGTTCCTCAAGGCGCAGTCCCAGCCTTCGACTCTGCATCTGCTTTAGTAGAACTCGTTCGATCTTCTGTTGCCGAGGCAATGGCACGGAACGATGGCAGGTACCCTCGTATCATGATCATCGGAGCTTTGGGTCGTTGCGGGAAAGGGGCAACTGAAAGTTGCCTTGCCGCAGGGATTCCCGAGGAATCGATTCTCAAATGGGATATGGCTGAGACCAGCCGTGGCGGACCGTTTTCCGAAATTGCTGACGTCGATATCCTCTTAAACTGCGTTTATCTGGGTGCAAACCGCACTCCGCCTTTTGTCACGCTCGAATCCTTATCGACACCGAACAGGCGGCTTCGCGTAATCTGCGATGTGAGCTGTGATCCAAACAGCGAGAACAACCCTATTGCTGTCTATTCTGGATACAGCTCCTTCGAAAACCCAACGATTCCAGCGTCGGGCAACCTAGACGGGCCGGAGCTGCGCATTATTGCTATTGACCATCTCCCCACCATGATTGCGCGCGAGGCAAGCGATGAGTATGCCAGCTTGCTTCTCCCCAGCCTCTTGAAACTGCGGGATCGTGAAACAGAAGGCGTCTGGACTCGAGCAGAACAGACATATCGACAGCGAGTGTCCGAATTGTCGTAGACTTAGGCAAGACTTTTTAGGGGAGACTCGAGGACAACTCGGCAATTCAATGTAGGCATCGATAGAGGTCGAGAGCCCGAGGAACGCTAATAGCTCGCGAGGCAGTAGATATCAGTGGCCTGGTTATATGCTCTGCCCTAAAGGCAGCAAGCAGGGCACGTTGCAAACAACAGCCTCGTGGCGTTAGCTTCACATCAAACATGACTTTGTTCATCACTATCTGACACGGTGAAGAGACTGTTCGTCCAACAAATGTACTTGACGCCGTAGAAACAAGTCTGCCCATTTTGCTTTTTACTCCCTTGCAAACGCGACAGCTGGCTGTGCTGGCTGCGGCTGAGCAAACTTCCTTAGATATACAGATGTACTCCGTATGCTGACACTACAATGTGCCTCCATGCGTGGGCAACACTTGGCGAGGTTGGATAGTCTTCAATAATCCAGGAATAAAAGTGGTGATCTTTGTTGCTTAAACTGAGAACTAGGCAATGCTCAACTCGCTGACTGCCGAGGACTAATCTGCGCTCTGCAGGTAGACAGACGCCTTGAGCTCTGGACATGTCGGCTACAGCGAGCCCCCTCGATCAAAGCACAAGCCATCCTCCACAGGCCGTAACGTCAGCCAGCCTTCAAATGTCCTCCAGTTTAATGTCTCTCTGGATGCCATCACCGGTGAGTTCGATGACAATGTCCGGCTGGATGATAGGAACTCTGGTTCTGACCAGGATCACTTTGTTGTCCGGAAGTCCGTCCATCGCTGCGTACAGTGCAGTGGGCAAGTGTTCGATCATCTTTATATCCTTGTACTCTTTGGTCATCACATCACTTTTTCCTCGGATATGGCAACAGGTTGCCAGGTAGATCCAACCGATGGATCGCTTTGCTGGAATGATGGAATCTCTGTTGTGGATTCGGGCCACTGCTTCGACGTCATGCACGAGGTCGCGCAGCATCTTCAGGCCTTTCCATTCCTGGTAGTTGACGAACTTATAGTTCTCTGCCGCTCCGTTCATGACCTTGACATCATCTCAAGGAGGGTCGCGTAAGAGCCGCACGTGCTCATGTGTGCATTTCACTAGCAAGGCATCTCCCTCCCTCACCAGGTACGGCTGTTACCGTCACCGACCGGGTGTCGATGCAAAGCACCCTGAACGCCGCTACCAAGCCACGCGATCATGATACCTCTCCGAGTCTCGTGGCTAAGCATCAGGCAGGCATTCAGGTGTCGAGGTAATGAAGAGGGTCGCCAGAAACCGGGCGCGACCAATCTGCCCGCTCCTCGTCCCTGGCGCGTCCAGCCGGATCCTGAACCATGGCGAATATTGCATGAAGTTGAGGAAGCACAGTGCAAATTCAAGTCTTGTGGGTGAGAGGTGATAGATTCGCATGCAGCCCGTCGGCGGGAGGGGAGGTTGAGCTGATTACCTGATCTCCGCCGACCCCCAACTGTCAACAAGTGTGCACGCGTCTATTATCCTGGTCGAGGGATTAATCCACTTCCTCAGACTTATTATTAATAATAATAAATAAATAATAGGAAAATAATAAATTATTCTATAGTATTTAGCTTATTATTGTGTTTATTACTAGGTTAATTATTCTGATATTATATTAAAATTTAATACTAGAGGTTCTAGGTGTGCTATTTTATATCAGTCGCTTTAATAACCACCTACCTAACTTGGAGAATAAGTAAATTATAGGGAGCTGCTATTGTAGGGAAGATCATCTATAGCTCGGTCGTTAGCCTGTGGGTATTGAGGCGATCAAAGCCTGGGCAGGAGCGGCGGTGCTGACTAACCACCCCGGCGGCGGGTCTCCTGGGTTTAGTGGCAGACACCTCAGTGGGCTGAAAAAAGGATGAGACACTAGACCACCGCTGGAGTACACTCTTAAGCTTACACCAAGTATTCACATTGAGATGTACCAACTTAATAGGGACTTTGTAGGCTTAAAAAACAGGATAGAAACTCTTTAAAGGGTGAAAACTACCTATGTATTTTTTTTTATATAAAAAAAAACTTAGAATTATTTTGCTATATCTGGTGGCTAGAAAAGAACCTGCAGTGTCTCGTCTTTTTTCCAACCCACTTTGGCAGACTACCTGAGGTATGTTAGTATACAGGTGACTTTTCAAATCCTGGGCTTCCCTTTCTTAGCGCAAGCACCCAACTTATCAAGCTGCTCACGAGCTACCATCCCGAGTTCTGCATTTGGTATTTTCCGCTCTCTTCTGATAATTTAATTCCGTTTTCAAAGCTCCTGTCACCGAGCCAAGATGCCGCTGAGTAAACATGACCGCCAGTATGACTTGGTCGTATTTGGGGCAACAGGTAATTCTGTCAAGATTTAGGGGTGATGAAGGAGACGCTGATGGGGTCCAAATTCTAGGATATACTGGCAAACACACTGCGGAGTTCATCACGAAACTTCCCACAAATTTGAAGTGGGCGGTTACTGGACGGAGTCAGCCGAAGCTTCAAGCTGTGGTCGATGCGTGCCGGGAGCTGGTTGCTGACAGGGAACAGCCAGGTTCGTCTCACAGCAAACCCCATCACGTCAAACAAACAACAGATGCGCAAGGCCAATCACCATAGCAGCCCACCGCAGCATTGTGATATGTCGACTAATCATGATTGTTGAAATTTAGCCATTGAAATTGCTGATGTGACGGATGAGGCATCGATCGTTGCGCTTGCAAAGAAGACCTTCATCGTCATCAGCACTGCTGGTCCCTACAGTGTCTATGGCGAGGCCGTCTTCAAGGCGTGTGCTGAGAATGGCACACACTACGTTGATTGCACGGGCGAGTTCCCATGGGTTGGCAACATGATCACCAAGTATGAAAAGGTAGCTAAGGCGAGTGGTGCGCTCATGTTCCCCCAGACTGGCCTCGAGTCTGCTCCCCCTGATCTGTGCTCATGGGCAATGGCCAAATGCCTCCGAGAGAACCTAAATGCCCAGACGGGGAGAGTCATCATGTCCATTCACACCCTCAGGTAGCGTCGTAGACCTCATCCTTGTGTTTACTGGAGACGATCGGTAGCTAACTCTTGTTTTAGATCAAGCGCGTCTGGAGGAACAATAGCATCCGTGTTGAACGTGTTCGAAACCTTCAGCTTGAAAGAGCTACAGGCAGCCACCAAGCCCTATGCATACTCTCCAGTTCCTCGTGAAGGCCAGGGGAGGTTCCAGCCAGGTATCATGGCTAGGATATTCGGATCTAGGAATATCCCCGACCTTGGTACACTCACTACTTCGCCGGCAGGGACCACGGATGCGTTCATCGTCGAGCGGACATGGGGTCTCTTGTCTGCAACGCCAAGCCGAAAAGCCGAATTCTACGGGCCTAATTTCACCTTTGAAGAGTACCTAAGGGTCCGGAACTGGATACAGGGAGTGGCACTCCATTTCTTTTTGACCCTTGGACCGGCTCTCTTGTTGCTATCCTCATTTGCACGGTCACTGCTGAGAAGGGCTACGCACCAACCGGGACAGGGCTCTGACAGGGCTTCGGCCTCAAGGGAAGAGGTTGAGTACCGTGGCACTGCTGAACCGGATGGTAAGTCCGGATCAGGCCAAAAAGCGTTCTGTCGCGTGCGCCATTTCGGCGGCCCTTATGCCTGTAAGATTTACCCCCGAATAGGCTTCAACGCCTTTTCTGGATGATGAATTCATTGCTGACGAGCTTGCTATAACAGTGTCTGGACTTCTGATGGCCCAAGTGGCTCTTACTCTTCTTGAGGAGGATGTGCAGCTCGACGGTGGCATCTATACGTCGGCATGCCTGGGACAGGGCTTGATTGACCGAGCTGCAAAGGCTGGTTTCAAGATAGAGACTGAGATTATCTCTTGATACCTGAGATTAGAGGAATACATTCGGTTGATTTTGGATGCATGGTATCTTTTCCTCTGGCAAGCTTAAGTGATGCCTGGTCTTATTCTTCCCAGGGGTTTATTAACCAGCTGGGCGAAGCCTATTCAGCCATTTACCCAGTACCTTTGGATTTGTTCTTTACTTCTTGCCGCAAATACCATCCACATAGCAACCACTTATATGATACAAAAAGAGTCCCGTAAATTTATGCGACAGCTGCGTGTGGCGTCTGCTACGCATTTGTCGTGCATGGTGACGGCGTTGCCCCGAGAACTGAGCACAATGGCAGCAGCACGAGCTTGGGCGGGCATCCTCCACTGTAGACCTCCACTGTAGACCTCCACTGTAGACCGTGCCGGAAGGCACTGGGCCCGGGGAAGTTTAATGGTTCGCATCCACTGTTGCCAGGCCCCACATCCGCCCTTCCATAGCGCCAAAGTGTTATGTTGCTGCAGTGTCAAACGTCATCATATGCAGTTTCCCGCGTAGCTTTTTTGTATGGACCGATCATCATCTTTCATTGGCCTGGAGAATTTGACTCCAACCACACCATTCGACGACATACGACCAGACTCGCGCCGACCGACCGGAAATCGGCAGTCCAATTTGTTTCCCACTTTACCCATGGACATGATTGCCGCGCATTGAATCTCAATCGTTGGCTTTTGCCAGCATACTCGGGAGGACCTCTAGCTGTTGCGATCGAATTCATAAACAATGGCCTCCAACTCGAACACCACAGATGCGGGACACCAGGCCAGCGAGGAGACCCCCCTCCTCCACTCCCCTGATAGCAGCCGTCACAAGAGCCACCGAAGCGTCACTTTCAGTGCCAACCCCGTTAGCAGGACTATCGAGCCGGAACCGCTCCGACCTTATAACAAGAGGCACAGCACCGCACTAGACACTCGCAATCCTGGTAACACGACGAGTGGCCCGCCGGTGCTCGCTGCTCTGAACAACAAATTGCGGAGGAGGAATAGTCACAGCTCTGCTCTTCCAACAGTCGCGCATCTCTCCGGTCCCAAGATTGGGCCTCAGCGAAGTACGAAGAAGACCGAGAAGCTGAAGCTTCTGCCGAACCCGGACCTTGGCGAGGATGCCCCCGATGAAGAGAGCGGCCGAGATGTCTATTCCCAATACACCCGAATCAAAGATCCCACAGCTAGGAGAGATGCGGCAAGGTTGGGCAAAGCGGACCGAGACAGGCTGCCAAGAGTGACGGCGTATTGCACCGCTAATCGCTATGAGATGGAGGCGCTCATGCGCTTCTTGAAGGGAAAAGCAAAGACCAGAGACTCAAATCCCAAACTCATAGACGAGTGTATATACACCCCTTACAAATATGCGAAGCCGCCGCCGCCTGTGTCCAGTAGCCGCCATGACCCTGTGAGGGTTTATGAGCGTCGACACTCAACTGGAAGCGAGACCACACAGGAAGAGCAGCAACGGAGGGAGACACTCATTGATGTCCCAGAGGACCCCAGTAATGGGCACTCCAACGGATCTTCTGTTCCCGATCTCAGCAATATTGACAGCGAGGGTCTACTAGGCCCAAGCATAATTGACGACGACAGCGCCATTGATAGCGCACCTGACTTTGACACAAAAGTCCACACACCAGAAGTGTTTCTTTTTGACTACGGAGTCGTTGTGATATGGGGCATGACTGCTTCACAGGAGGTTAGGTTCCTGAAAGAGATTGCCAAGTTCGAGCTTGAGAAGCTTGCGCCGGACGATGTTGAGACTGAGCATTTCAATTTTTATTACACCCACGAGTACCAGGCTCGCATTTATAATGACTTTATCACGCTGCGGGATAAGAACAACTATATGACAAAGCTGGCTATTTCGCATGCCTTAGCCCAGAGCGTCAAGGTATGTGCCCATTCGTCCCTGGGCGAGACGTGGCAATTGGCTGCTTTCGTGTGACTCGATTAACTGACTTCGAACCTACCAGACCTCTCTGTTTGAAGAGCTTATTGCTTCAACCGTTGAAACATGCAAGGACATCCCAACGCAGATCGCCCTCACCGGCAAGATCGACCTCAACCCGTCCCAGATCAACATGCAGATCGGCGAACTCTTTATCCTTCGAATTAATATCCACCTCAACGGCTCGGTGCTGGACACCCCCGAGCTCTTCTGGGTCGAGCCGCAGCTGGAACCCGTTTACCAGGCAGTCAGAAGCTATCTCGAGATGGACCAGCGAGTCGGACTCCTGACCGAGCGCCTGGACGTCATTGCCGATCTACTCGCGGTCCTCAAAGACCAGCTAAGCCACGGCCACGACGAGAAGTTGGAATGGATTGGTGAGTAACCCAAGACTTTGTGTTTTCCTACTGGGTGTGGTCATTATTTGCTGACACATGCTTTTCTTCCTTATAGTGATTATACTTATTGCCGTCGAGATCTTGGTGGCGGCTATTAATATCGTGGTTGACATTACCGCAGAGGGTTGAAAAAAAAAATCGTGCACATCGGAATGAGCTCTTGGTATAGAACAAGGACGAGGACGCGATGCGTGGAGTTTCGCCGGTTTTGCTTAGAGATATACGCAGGCACTGTATTCATAGTTCACAATCTGGGTAGAACATCTAATTTGGTAGACATATGAGCTTCACAGCGAAAACGTGTCTGGGAAAGAGATCCGGGAATGGCATCCTTGTTTTCTTTTTATCATTTATCGAGGAACCTCTCGTCCACCCCCCTTCGTCTAGAGCTTAGTAAAAGATGCGTAATTACATCTTGAGAGACCAGATATTCCCACCCTTAAAACGCCATGTTAGAGTTACAGATCTTAATCGCAGATCAATCCTTGCTTTCCTTGCTGTCCTTGGCCTCCTTGTCTTCCTTGTCTTCCTTGCCCTTCTTCTCTTCCGCTTGCTCAGCGTTTTCGCTATTACCCATCTCCACATCCTCATCCTGGGCAGCTGGCTTGGAGGACGTTGGCTCATCCTCCTTCTTCAGTTCAGGAGCGGCGTCATCCTTCTCCTTCTCCTCATCCTCTTTGGAGTCCTTGTCCTCCTTCTCTCTCCGCTTCACCAGCTCTTCGAACTGGGTCTTGTACTCGTCCTTCTTCTCATCGGACAGCTCCTTCCATCGGCGCTCCAGCTCCTCGTCAACATTGACATCCTCCTTATCTTCCTTATCTTCCTTATCCTCCCTATCTTCCTTGTCTTCTTTGTCTTCTTTGTCCTCCTTGTCTTCTTTGTCCTCCTTATCCTCCTTGTCCTCCTTGGCCTTGCTCTGCTCCTCTACTACCGCCCGCTCCTCGGAGCAGAACAGCTCGAACGCATCGCGCGGCTTGGCGGACTTCTTTGCGCCATTCGTGGCACCTTTCTTACCGGGGTCACCTTGTTCCGAGGGAGCAGGTGATCCAGATCCAGCCCGCTGGGTGAAGGAGGCCGAGGGGGTGTCTTTGCTGTCCGCGTCGGTCTTGCGGTGGCCGCGCTTGATCCGCAAGGGCTTGTCCTTGGGCTTGCGGATGTTAGCGTCGGCTTCATGGATGCCGGCAGAGAAGTGCTCCTATTGGCACACAAGTATCAACACTGAATCGAAGGTAGGTTATAGAAGAAATCGAAAGTTGGAAGCTTCCAATTCTTTGACGTGCACGCTTGACGATTTATTTTGGGGGGTGTAGTGTGGACAGGGTAAGCAAGAAGCAGATGAGGCGAACGTGGAGGAGAAAGAGTAGACATGCCATGATGTGCTACAGCTAGGAGAGCACACGTGGGAGGAATTGGACAATGAGCAACAGAGCATATTATATCATACCGTTGGTGGAGGACTTGGGCTTCCCTCAGAGTCCTCGACATTGGTGCTCGTGCGCTTGGCAAGTTGTTCAAGGAGGAAGGCTCTTTCGATCCTCAACTTCTCGACCTGGCGCTTAATTCGGGCGAGACGAAGTCTGGCGGCGTCGTTGGCCTCTTCGACCTCGTTGGTGCGATTCTTGAGCTGGATGCATTTGCGACGGTAGGCCTCCTCGACGGATGGAGGCAGCGACGGCGGGACGGCTGATGCGGTTGGAGCAGAGTCAACTTCTGTATGCTTGCGCTTGGGTGGCATCGCGACCAGGCGAGACGAGACGAGAGGCTTTGGGGAGGAGGGAGAGGGAGATGGAGGGAGGAAGGTCTCGATAGTTGTCGGAATGGGGAATGATGAGGAAAAAGTGGGAAGATGGCTGGCCGAGAATCGAGCTCTGTTTGCCTTGTCTGGATGCGCAGGCCGTACTGGACCGAAGCGAAGGGCAGCGAGCCGTGGGTAGGTAATTTGCCTTGACAGACAGTGCTGAACTCAACTGGGTGGTGCGGTTGCAGGAGAGTCGAACAGGGTTCAGGCAAACAATGGGGACCGCGGACCTGGTGTAAGGGAGGAAAACTCACAAGATTGGGGTGCCATGATGCTATCAAACACCAATTTCAGGGACGCGCAGTGCAGCGCCGTGCGGGTAGCCCAGGGATGGACTGATTGTCTTGCGTGAACTCGACTCCCAACAAGAACGTGCCGTGCAGCAACTCCCAATTGCGAAGACTCGATCGCGCTCGGAAGGCGGTGGGCGAGTTTATAGGCTCCTGCAGCTCAGCTCTGGCAGTCCCCCAGACGCCTTTCTCGGCCTGGTGGGTCCCGTCATCATGCCTCCTGCACCGCGCCTGGGACGTGCATCTGTCGAATTGTGCATTTTGGGATTAGTGCTGTGCTGTGCATGTTGTGCAAATTGTGAACGCTCAGACTCCTCGTCGTTACCGTTGATGTGAGAACTGAGTAGCAAGTTGACTTCTATACAAATAACTAGAGAGAATTACAAATAGTTGAAGACATGCATAGGCTTCCATCACAGACAACTCAGTTGCGAGAAGACTGATCATTCCAGACTTGGCTATCTCGGTACAGAACAATAGATCTCTGGTAGTCTCAGCTCCTGTTCACTATCAGCTCCCAAGCACGCAGAATGACAAAGCAAGCAGTGGAAGGCCACTATCAAAGAGATCAGTCCGGCGCTGCTGCCACCCACCGCCCACTCCAGGGGTAACAGCACAAGGTGGAAGCTTCCCGCAGCTGGAACGGATTAACTGCACCCGGAGGGGTCCGCAGCCTGCCTGATTGGCTAGCGGGGCACTTCAGCAGCACAAACATCCCCCAAGACAGCACAGATAGATTTTCTGAGGGCGGCGGTATCCATACAAATATATCTGGAGGTGACGTTTGGCTTGCCCTCGAGGAGAGTCGTTCAGTTTTCCCGGGCTTTTCTCTCCCTTCTTTGGGCCATCGCTAGAAGGACTCCCAAGTCAACATGTCTCTCAATATTCCTGGCGCTCCCAACGCCAACCTGTTCAAGCAGGGCTACAACAAGTAGGTCCATTCTCCCTAAGCTCTGTATTCCATCCCCTTCCTCGCTTCACCCCACCAAAAGAAAAAGAGGAAGTGGGAAACCATCAACAGTCGCCTCGGCGCTGCACTGCCGCCATTACACCCGAAGGAGATGCATATGTTCAATAACATGTCGGTATCGGTTCAATGCTGACATTCAACTGGCAGCTATGACGCTGAAGATGGCGCTGTCCTGCGCAACATCGATGCCTGCCGGGCAATCTCCTCCACCGTCCAGACCTCGCTAGGTCCCTACGGCCGAAACAAGGTCATCATCAACCACCTTCAGAAGATGATCCTCACCTCCGATGCCGCGACTATCCTCCGAGAGCTCGATGTAGTGCACCCCGCCGCCAAGCTCCTCGTCATGGCCAGCCAGCAGCAGGAGGCCGAGATGGGCGACGCTACCAACCTGGTCATCATCCTAGCTGGCGAGCTGCTCAAGAAGGCCGAGGATCTCTTGCGAATGGGCCTCAAGGCCTCTGACATTGTTATTGGCTATGAAAAGGCACAAAAGTTTGCTCTCGAGACCCTGGAGGAGCTGGAGGTGGACAAGGTCGAGAATCTGCGTGACCAGGAGGAACTTAGCAAGGCGATCCGCACCGTCATTGCCAGCAAACAGAACGGCAACGAGGACTTCCTGGCCGAGCTCGTCTCTGAGGCTGTTCTCTCGGTCCTGCCAAACAACCCAGCAAACTTCAACGTCGACAACATCCGCGTGGTCAAGATCATGGGTGGTAGCTTGGACCAGAGCAGGGTCGTCAAGGGCATGGTTTTCCCCAAGGAGCCCGATGGAAGCGTCAAGAAGGCCACCAAGGCCAAGGTCGGTGTGTACACCTGCCCAATCGACGTCAGCCAGACCGAGACCAAGGGGACTGTTCTCCTTCACAATGCCAAGGAGATGGTTGATTTCACCCAGGGTGAGGAGTCTCAATTGGAGACTTCAATCAAGGAGCTCTACGATTCCGGCCTTCGCGTCGTCGTCGTCGGTGACCGAGTTGGCGACCTGGCCATGCACTATCTGAACCGGTTTGGCATCCTATGCATCAGGATTCTCAGCAAGTTCGAGCTGCGCAGAGTCTGCCGTGTCGTCGGTGCTACCCCTCTGGCTCGTCTGGGTGCTCCTATGCCTGATGAGATGGGCAATATCGATGTTGTTGAGACTTTGGAAATCGGCGGTGACAGGGTTACTGTCTTCAGGCAGGAGGATGAGGTCACTCGCACTGCCACTCTGGTTCTTCGAGGAGCCACACAGAACCATCTCGATGACGTTGAGCGTGCTGTTGATGATGGCGTCAATGTTGTCAAGGCTATCTCCAAGGACCCCAGGCTCGTGCCCGGTGCGGGTGCCACAGAGACTCAGTTGGTGGAGAGGATACAGGCATTTGGGGAGAAGACCCCTGGTCTCAGCCAATACGCTATCAAGAAGTATGCTGAGGCTTTTGAAGTTGTCCCGCGCACTTTGGCAGAGAGCTGCGGCCTAGACGCTACCGAGGTTCTCAGCAGGCTCTATGCTGCTCACCACAATAGCGAAGAGTGGGATACTGGTGTTGATGTTGACGTATGTACTACCTCTTTGTCCAGCAATCTGGTCACTCCGCTCTTCGATCCTATACTAATCAATCTGATTTTCATAGAACGAGGAAGATACAGGTATCCTGGACACCAAGGATGAGGGCATCCTCGATCTTCTCGTGTCCAAACACTGGGCTATCAAGCTCGCCACCGAGGCAGCAAGAACAGTTCTGTCCGTCGATCAAATTATCGTCGCCAAGCAAGCCGGAGGGCCCAAGCCACCCGGTCCCAACCCCGTAAGTCCATATCTATCGCCCTGATAATTGGCTCCGAATACCTGCTGTCTTTATCTCCATGCAAAGTCTTCTTGAACTAACAGCTATCTTTAGAACTGGGATGAGGATTAAATCTAGAATAGACAATACAATGATGATGCTCAACGCCCTGAACCGATGTGAGAAAAGAAATCCACCGATGAGAGGCGCCTGGCGTCAAAGGGATGAAACGCAAAATGCTTATACTTCTGTCATGTAATGCACCCAGGTGCAAAACGGTGTTTATCTATCTGTCCCCCTAGGTCACTAATTACCTAGAAAGTCAACCCAGGCACGATGGTCAATATCTTGGCTATATCGCAGCCTGGGAATAATCTAACGAGCCAGGAAACAAAAATAGACTGCATTATGATAAAAAAATTGAGGATGAAGTGAAGAAAATGTATTAAGGAGCGTGAGAGGAGGTGCCCTGGCAACGTCTACGATGACCCGAATATGAACCTTGTAGACCGCGTATTTTCAAATTCCGGGATCCTCACGACTTGGACTTGCGAGCAATCGGGACAGCGCATGAGGTACTAAACTTGATGTTCGTGCTTTCTGTTTTAAACATTGCATACATTTATATCCCCTGTAGCAACATCTCATTGCGGCATTTCATCCTTAGATGCCCATGTCCTCGCAAATGTAAAAAATTGTAAAAGCTTTCTCCCAATGCCTCGATATTCAAAGGCGAATATGTATCCTCCAACCTTTCAAGCCACCATATGCGTAAGAGCATCATAATCGCATACTTGAAGGGACAATGACTCCCATATCCATAAATCATAGCAAAAAAGAAAAGGATAAGTTAAACGAATTGACCAGATATCAAAAAACGAGGATATCGAAGAAATGAATTCCAACGACGTAAATAGGAATGTAAAACCTTGGGGGTTGCACACGCTATATGAAATAAAATAGCAGTGGCGGGTATGGGAAAAGAGAAAATGATGTTCAACAAGTAACCCAAGAGGTATCATTTCATGTCTCGCACTCCGGCCAAAGACGAAAGAGCATGTATCACGCGTCGACGACAAAAGAGCAATCAGCATAGTGAAGGGACGAACAATGTACGACAAAAAGAAAAGCTGAAAAGCATCTCCCAGAACACCGATTTTCGAGACGCCATTGTCAAATCGCTTGGAGAAATAATAGAGCAGATGATGGGAAGTTGCTCATGCTTCTTCCACAATGCCACCCTCCCCACCACCCTCGTCACGCCATTCACGGCTCTTCTCGGTAAGCTTCTTCACTCCGCCGACGCGGCCGGCCCATAAGCTCTCAATGGGCGTTCTGAAGGTGAACCCACGTTGTGAGCTAATGACACCAATAGCTTGGAGAACTGCCTTTCGGCTGTCGCGGCCAAAGACCGCTGGGTGGTTGATCCATTCAAGGCTGCTCTCGAGTTCATGATCCAAGGCTGCGACCGTGGTAGCGTCGATTCCGGTGCCAAGACTCAGACCTTCCTGAGACCGTGTTGCGGGGAATGGTGTATTCGAGTACCCATTGTTATTCCCGGATGAGGTTGCTGAGGTAGGCGGCGAGGGGCTTCGTTTACGATCCGGCGTGTTGGACGGATTAGATGATGAATCATTGCCTGGAAGTGGTGTTGGGGGCCCAGCCTTGTTTGCCATTGGTGGCACCGGGGGGAGGCCACCCTTACCCAAACCTTTAAGAATTGAGCGTGTCTCGTTGAGGAGAGTGTGCGCTCTCTCATGTTGACCTCGGCTGACCAAAGTCAAGGCTCTCGTCAACATATCAGAGGTGAGCAATTCCATGCGCCTCTGCACAATGTGTGGGTGAGGGGGAATGGGGGGGCTTCCCTGCCATGACTTCTTCTGGCCACTCACGGCAGGCAACATTGTG